TCAATCACACTTCTGTGAAATCAAACTGTTCACTTAGGAAGCATCACTGATTGACAATAAATTTCACATGCTGTTGTGCAAATGTATTGGACAACAGGTGGATATTATAGGCAATTAGCAAGACACCCCCAATAAAGAAGTGGTTCTGCAGGTGGTGACCACAGACCACTTCTCAGTTCCTATGCTTCCTGGCTGATGTTTTGGTCACTTTTGAATGCTGGCGGTGCTTTCACTCTAGTGGTAGCATGAGACGGAGTCTACAACCCACACAAGTGGCTCAGGTAGTGCAGCTCATCCAGGATGGCACATCAATGCGAGCTGTGGCAAGAAGGTTTGCTGTGTCTGTCAGCGTAGTGTCCAGAGCATGGAGGCGCTACCAGGAGACAGGCCAGTACATCAGGAGACGTGGAGGAGGCCGTAGGATGGCAACAACCCAGCAGCAGGACCGCTACCTCCGTCTTTGTGCAAGGAGGAGCAGGAGGAGCACTGCCAGAGCCCTGCAAAATGACCTCCAGCAGGCCACAAATGTGCATGTGTCTGCTCAAACGGTCAGAAACAGACTCCATGAGGGTGGTATGAGGGCCCGACGTCCACAGGTGGGGGTTGTGCTTACAGCCCAACACCGTGCAGGACGTTTGGCATTTGCCAGAGAACATCAAGATTGGCAAATTCGCCACTGGCGCCCTGTGCTCTTCACAGATGAAAGCAGGTTCACACTGCACATGTGACAGACGTGACAGAGTCTGGAGACGCCGTGGAGAACGTTCTGCTGCCTGCAACATCCTCCAGCATGACCGGTTTGGCGGTGGGTCAGTCATGGTGTGGGGTGGCATTTCTTTGGGGGGCCGCACAGCCCTCCATGTGCTCGCCAGAGGTAGCCTGACTGCCATTAGGTACCGAGATGAGATCCTCAGACCCCTTGTGAGACCATATGCTGGTGCGGTTGGCCCTGGGTTCCTCCTAATGCAAGACAATGCTAGACCTCATGTGGCTGGAGTGTGTCAGCAGTTCCTGCAAGAGGAAGGCATTGATGCTATGTACTGGCCCGCCCGTTCCCCAGACCTGAATCCAATTGAGCACACCTGGGACATCATGTCTCGCTCCATCCACCAACGCCACGTTACACCACAGACTGTCCATGAGTTGGCGGATGCTTTGGTCCGGGTCTGGGAGGAGATCCCTCAGGAGACCATCCGCCACCTCATCAGGAGCATGCCCAGGCGTTGTAGGGAGGTCATACAGGCACATGGAGGCCACACACACTACTGAGCCTCATTTTGACTTGTTTTAAGGACATTACATCAAAGTTGGATCAGCCTGTAGTGTTGTTTTCCACTTTAATTTTGAGGGTGACTCCAAATCCAGACCTCCATGGGTTGATACATTTGATTTCCATTGATCATTTTTGTGTGATTTTGTTGTCAGCACATTCAACTATGTAAAGAAAAAAAATATTTAATAAGATTATTTCGTTCATTCAGATCTAGGATGTGTTGTTTAAGTGTTCCCTTTATTTTTTTTGAGCAGTGTATATATTAATTGAAGTCATTCTTTTTTTTACTTCAAGCAGGTTGTTATAAAATCAGATAAAATCTCTTTCATATCATGATTCATACAGTGAGAAATCTGACAGATTTAGTCTTTACTCTTATACAAAACGTCCTCAATTTGATGTAGGCTAGAATTACAATATGATGACCACAATATGATTTTATTCATTCATTTTATTCAACATAACCTTTAAGTCATTGCACTTACAAGCGCCTATAAGAAAATATCAAAAAGCATTTGGTTAAGAAATGCATTATTCATATAAAAACATATATCCCGTATTCAACATTCAATGTATTCAAGTCAATTGTTATGGTATCTACCTCAATGCACAAATTATTCAGCCATGTTAGACAAATGATGACAGTGGCCTACATAGAAAACAAGAAAACATGCAAGCAACATCTAATTTTACTCGTGTAAAAATGTCACATCCCCGTCACAGTTTTCTCACATTATTCCCTTGCGTAGTCTACATATACATTTAGTATAGAGGACTGACAAACAAGTAGGTTCCTCTCTGATAAAATAAATTAAGCCCCTTACCACATAGGCAAACAATGTTTTAAAGTGAACAGATTATACTTTTGCACTCCAGTGCTTATTCAGTGAATTATAGTTACAATGGTCTATGCCAGAATATAAATGGCCTTTTCCAATATATGCACTGGGCATAGGAAATCCACAATAAAAAAGACTGCAATTTTGCTATTTTTTATTTTATTTCTGGCCACTCATATATTTTGCTATTGTGAAATTCCTATGTATATGCTCAGCAGGAAATGTCAATTAAATATAAATAAAGTACAATTCTGAAACGCATCACAGTGTGCCATGTCATGAATCGCTGTAATTCATTTGTTAGGTCATCACTCATAAAGCTACAGTAAATGCCATATTTCATAAGGAACCGTCTAAAAACATGTTCAGAACCCCCTTTTTTCCTCTGTAGGTTTGTCTGTAGGCTACTCTAGGAGTATGAGAGGATGCTGTGTATCTGCCTAGATCTTTCTGTCTGGCTCAAGGCTGTTGCTGGTACTGGCTCTCTGTTGCGGTGTAGAAATCCTCCAGGACACTCTGCAGGTACTCAAAGGTTGGACGGTCCTCGGGCTTGTTCTTCCAGCACTCCAACATGACGTCATAGAGCTCCTGGGGACAGCTGTCGGTGCGCTGCATGCGGTAGCCTCTCTCCAGGGAGCGAATCACTTCTGGGTTCGTCATCCCTAGATGACAGAGCCAGCACAGAAGCACATCGTTATAAAGGGGGGGAGAGGGTGAACCTTACACTTTATTAATTTCATTCATCATTCAATTAACATACAGTACAAGTACAGCAGAGTACATGTTCTCATTCAGGTCCTCTGACCTGGATATGGTGTGCGTCCATAGCTGATGATCTCAGTCAGTAGGATGCCAAAGGACCAGACGTCTGATTTGATGGTGAAGGAGCCGTAGTTGATTGCCTCCGGGGCCGTCCACTTGATGGGGAACTTTGCTCCTGTTAGGGAACAACAGTATGCTTTCTTACTGTACGTCTGCTGCCCCCTGCTGGCACTGAAATATATTACAGCAGCTTGTCTCAACATATTGCTTTCTACTCCAAACCATGTCACTCATTCACTTCAACACACTTTCCTCTGACACAATGATATCTTTCCCTTCTGATACAATCATGGCTCTCACTTCCTTGTTCCAACTCTGACTTCCCTCACTAATTGTTGTTCCAAACCACACCCAGATCTGAAAGCCTTCTAACTTTACTCTGATGTACTAATATTTGTTAACTCAGCTGTCATGTCACAGTCATTTGAATCCATTATGTGGCACAGACATGTTCCTCAAGTGGATAATGCTAGATGCTGATCTTACCTTCCCTGGCTGTGTACTCATTGTCCTCAATGATTCGGGCGAGGCCAAAGTCAGCGATCTTGCACACCAGAGCCTTGGAGACCAGGATGTTGGCGGCTCGCAGGTCCCGGTGGATATAGTTCCTCTGCTCGATGTAGGCCATACCTTCTGCAATCTATGGACAAAGACATGGTTGGATGTCCGCAGACAGCAGGAAAGGTGGTCCTCCAGAAGCAGGAGCATGGGGGGTTTCTAATAATTCATCTCCCAAGTGCTCTCAATGATTTATTGTGCAATATATCTATTGTTTTCAAGTATAGTTTCTAAAGCCTCCCCTTAGGTTCTGCTACGGGACAATAAAATAAGCAGTTAAAATAATGATAACGATAGCTATACTGGGACCATCTGGGTCCCTTTAAACTTCCAACTACCATCAGGCTTTATAATTCATCTCTCATCCCCTCTCCCTCTCTCACTCCTTCTATCGTTCTTCCTTTCTTTCGTTCTTCCTTTCTTTCTTTCTTTCTTTCTTTCTTTCTTTCTTTCTTTCTTTCTTTCTTTCTTTCTTTCTTTCTTTCTTTCTTTCTTTCTTTCTTTCTTTCTTTCTTTCTTTCTTTCTTTCTTTCTTTCTTTCTTTCTTTCTTTTTTTCTCTCTCTCACACGGGTATATAGACACAAACTGACTGACATATTCAATCCATATCTCTAAAGATCAGTGCTATAGCGCTATTCAAATTTAAAGGCAACGTTCCCGTGTTGGTGGAGACCGCGTTCACTGTAAACGCTGCATATGTCGGCTCAATCGGAAATAACCTTTACATTTCTGTCGCAACTAGATAAGCCTTATCTGTGTACCAATCTCAGTGGAATAATTTAACATAAATCATAGCAGATTTAAATCTGACAATGTCTTCCTGTTCCCTTCTCTTTAAATTATCCTCTCTCTTTCTGTAATTCGACTCCTCATATTCCATTTCAGTATCTTTCAAAAAAAAAATATTCTCTCACCTCACTTCACTCTAAAATCTACATACAACAGATGGCATAAACATACACGCTCACAGATAAGCATGCGTTCATAAGTTCTGCTTTACTGTTAATAAGTTCCTTATTGCCTCTGTTTATCTGCAGCAACAGGTGTACAAATGGAAATACTGTATGATCAGGTTTCAAACTGAAATGTTGGATTGTGTTGTGTCCAATACTGTCAAAAATAATTTCACATCACAATATTGTTGAACAGCAAACATTGGCGTGAAGAATTTTGGTTTAGAAACACGTTCTGCCACACACCTTCTTCTGCCAAGCTAAATACAGGATTTGAATATTGAAATGCTGCCTACAATAGGAAAAACATAGAACAAAGGCATGAAACAGAAGAGCATCCAAATGAGTGGCTTGCTATTGTCAGTCACTGGGCATAACAAGACCAAAGCATTCTCCTTTTTCTTTGGTTCTGGTGTTAGTGTCACACTTTTCCCTTCTACCACAGTAGAAGACTGGAAGAATATAAACAGTAGAACACTGGAAGAATATAAAACCATACAATTCAACAAAATCCAAACTGACAGTTTAACTTTGACATAACTGAATCTCACCTGTGCTGAGAAATCAATGAGTTTGGGGAGTTGAACACGGTTCCCCTCGTCACTCTTCAAGAAGTCAAGCAAACTGCCTAAACACACACACACGCACGCACGCACGCACCCACACACACACACACACACACACACACACACACACACACACACACACACACACACACACACACACACACACACACACACACACACACACACACACACACACACACACACACAAGCACACACATGCACAGAAAAGCACACACAAAAATAGTAAATGACAGAGATACACTGATGTATCGTAATGTAAATGTATATAAAATATCAAACGGGTGTACACACCCTTCTCCATGTACTCTGTGATGATGTAGATGGGTTCCTCTTTGGTAACCACAGCGTTCAGACGGACCAGCTTGTCGTGCTGCAGAGCCTTCATCAGGTTGGCCTCGTCCAGGAAAGCCTCCACAGACATGGTGCCAGGCTTCATGGTCTTCACTGCCACCTTAGTGTGCTTGTTGTATGTAGCTACAGAAAAAGACACAAAGCAAACCACATTACCTATGCTAGCTCAGTTTACAGCTCCACCAAGCAAGATGTTTTCAGAATAAATATCAACTCATACTGATCTCCCAGTATTGGTCTGAACATAACCTTCTCAGAATGACCGAGTAAGAACTTTAAATGACATGGAGCTCACCCATCCAGACCTCTCCAAACTGGCCAGCCCCGAGCCTCCTGTCCAGTTTGAGGGAATCCCGAGGGATCTCCCAGGCATCCTTCTCCCAGGGCTTCTGGGGCTTGGGACTGAGGCAGGGGCTGGTCAAGGCCTGACACAGACCGTCTCCCTGCTCTGTAGGAAACAAACACATCCAGTAAGACATCCACACCCAAAGCTCTGAATCCTACAGGACAATTAATACCATTAGCTGAATGTATCATTGAACTGTACATAGCACACATTTTAAACCCATAGAAAGTCAGTACTGCTGGAGGCCAAATACACGATGTGTCCGTTTTCAGAACAGGCAGCCAGCAGAGGGGGCTGTTCATCTCCAACGTCCACAATCAACTTTAGTAGCAGTGGACACTAGTGCCTTCAAATTCAGAGCCAGTTCCACTGCTATATTTTACTGATTTAGACCTGGGACACCAGGTGGGTGCAAGTAACTATCAGGTAGAACAGAAAACCAGCAGTACTCCGGACCTCGTAGGGCAGTGTTTCTTTTAATCCTGGTCCTGGGGACCTCCGGGGGTGAACCTTTTTGGCGTTTTCCTTAGCACTACACGCCTGATTCAAATAATCAAAGCTTGATGATGAGTTGATTATTTGAATTAGGTGTGTAGTGCTAGGGCAAAGAACAAAAATGTGCACCCCTTGGGGTCCCAATGACCAGGATTGGGAAACACTGTCTTAGGTTAATAAGATTTGAATAGCCCTTCTCTAGTGTATTATGGATGGCTGTGATGTTGGCACTCACTCTTATAGTGGCCGACCAGTTCCTGCAGGGTGGTGAAGGTGATGCGTGGGGAGATGTAGAAGCCACCGTTGTCCAGCGTACGGATCTTGTAATGCTTGACTGTGTCTCCTGATTGGGAATCACTGTCCCTTACGGATAGGGAGTAGCTGCCTGTAGCAGGAAGGAGAGACGGCTTGCTAAAGTCTGAAAGTGCGCTTGTTTAATGTGTATGTCTAAGAGCTTTTGAACTTGCTCACCCTTGGTGGTCTCACTGTCACGGATCATAAACGATCCCATTTTGTTTCCTGATGCCAGCAGCTGCCTCTCTGCATCTTTCCTGCTCACTCCTTTAAAGAACCACCTGGGGGATGGGAAAGTTATATCAGACTAATTCCTTTGAGCAGCTTCTACTCACACACTACACTGGAGAACATACTTACTCTTCGGTTTCAAGGCTGTCTATGGCTACATAGTTACTGGGGATGAAGCCTTCCTGGCCTGTGCTGATTAACTGGGCTCTCCACCATTCTCCAGACCTACAGAAAGAGAGAGAGAGGGAGAGAGAGAGAGAGAGAGAGAGAGAGAGAGAGAGAGAGAGGAGAGAGAGAGAGAGAGAGAGAGAGGGGGACGGACAGACAAACGGACGGACGGACGGACGGACGGACAGACAGACAGACAGACAGACAGACAGACAGACAGACAGACAGACAGACAGACAGACAGACAGACAGACAGACAGACAGACAGACAGACAGACAGACAGACAGATTGTGAGAGGTGAGGGAATAGGTATTATGGGTATTATAGGTATTATAGGTATTTTAGGTATTCAGTGCTCTGTATGGGTATGAATGCATCATATTTATGTATAAATGTCAGATACACTCACTCCTGTAAGATTTTAAGCTTGTCTCCCTTCTTGAAGCCCAGATCTCCATCATTTATACCCTCATAGTCATACAGTGCAATGGCAATGCTCTCAGGACCTGGGGGGGGGAGGGGGCAGAGAATGTAAGTGTGTGTGTGTGTGTGTGTGTGTGTGTGTGTGTGTGTGTGTGTGTGTGTGTGTGTGTGTGTGTGTGTGTGTGTGTGTGTGTGTGTGCGTGCGTGTGTAAAAATGCAAAAATGTAAAATGTAATGTGCGTGTGTGTGTGTCTGTGTGCATGCACACATATGACAAAGAGAGACTTTGTTTTTTCCATCAAGTGCAACTCTTACATGATTAAAAACAACAACAACAGCGCTTTGCCTAGGTCACTTCCTGTCTGGCTGCTTTAGTGGTATAGCAGTGGAGAGATCATCTGCTGTCTCGTGTCGTGAGGCTCTGAGTGGGGGCTATCTCAAAACCTACACGTTCTCACCTCTTTCACTTTCCATATGTGGCCTCAGCCACATAGTCTATAATTACATGGCAACAAACAATTGACAGTATGTAGTGTGCTGCTGGAAATACGGTGTGATGAAGCTGAGCACTGTAACAGTTCCTACGTCACAAATTCAAGTGAGCCAAGTGAGTGCTGTAACTTCTCTGCGTCACACTCACCCTCAGAGGGGACTGGAGGGCCAGTGGAAATGGTTCTATTCTGTGAAAGACAGAAAGAGGTTTGAAGAGTTGAGGAGAACCATGGGAAATGTAGTATAGAAGCTGGGAGAAAGTGAGTGAAACATGAGAGGTCAAATGACAGATGAAGTAAAAGTGAGATAAATGGATAGAAAATAGGAATTCAAAACAGAAAGAGAGAAGAGACACCTTCCCCCAAATTATAATCATCTTTTTTTAAAACAACACCCTTGCCTTTGTTGCACTAACACTCACACTTGTCTTTTCTAACTGACTTTGCTGATAGCTGCTTTATTTATTTTTTAAATTTTTAAATGTTTAGTCATTTAGCTGACGCTCTTATCCAGAGCGACTTACAGTTAGTGAGTGCATACATTATTATTATTTTATTTCATACTGGCCCCCCGTGGGAATCGAACCCACAACCCTACCAACTGAGCTACATCCCTGCCGGCCATTCTCTCCCATACCCTGGACGACGCTGGGCCAATTGACTTACTATGACTGTGATATGTGGTTCTCACCTAGCTATGAACGCATTAAGTCCCTCTGGATGAGAGCGACTGCAAATGACTGAAATGTACATGCAAATTCAATGTCTGTTTAAACAATGATCACAAAATTAATTTCTGCGTTCAGTGGATGTGTTACTTCCCCTTCCTCATTCTAACAGCGCTTACAGTTGGTTTACAGTAAACACACAGGAAGTAATGACCACCCCAGACACCAAAGGAAACCCACTTATAGATCAGTCACTTACAGTGGGGAAAGAAAGTATTTAGTCAGCCACCAATTGTGCAAGTTCTTCCACTTAAAAAGATGAGAGAGGCCTGTCATTTTCATCATAGGTACACGTCAACTATGACAGACAAGATTGAGATTGTTTTTCTCCAGAAAATCACATTGTAGGATTTTTTATGAATTTATTTGCAAATTATGGTGGAAAATAAGTATTTGGTCACCTACAAACAAGCAAGATTTCTGGCTCTCACAGACCTGTAACTTCTTCTTTAAGAGGCTCCTCTGTCCTCCACTCGTTACCTGTATTAATGGCTCCTGTTTGAACTTGTTATCAGTATAAAAGACACCTGTCCACAACCTCAAACAGTCACACTCCAAACTCCACTATGGCCAAGACCAAAGAGCTGTCAAAGGACACCAGAAACAAAATTGTAGACCTGCACCAGGCTGGGAAGACTGAATCTGCAATAGGTAAGCAGCTTGGTTTGAAGAAATCAACTGTGGGAGCAATTATTAGGAAATGGAAGACATACAAGACCACTGATAATCTCCCTCGATCTGGGGCTCCACGCAAGATCTCACCCCGTGGGGTCAAACTGATCACAAGAACGGTGAGCAAAAATCCCAGAACCACACGGGGGGACCTAGTGAATGACCTGCAGAGAGCTGGGACCAAAGTAACAAAGCCTACCATCAGTAACACATTACGCAGCCAGGGACTCAAATCCTGTAGTGCCAGACGTGTCCCCCCTGCTTAAGCCAGTACATGTCCAGGCCCGTCTGAAGTTTTCTAGAGTGCATTTTGGATGATCCAGAAGAGGATTGGGAGAATGTCATATGGTCAGATGAAACCAAATATAACTTTTTGGTAAAAACTCAACTCGTCGTGTTTGGAGGACAAAGAATGCTGAGTTGCATCCAAAGAACACCATATCTACTGTGAAGCATGGGGGTGGAAACATCATGCTTTGGGGCTGTTTTTCTGCAAAGGGACCAGGACGACTGATCCGTGTAAAGGAAAGAATGAATGGGGCCATGTATCGTGAGATTTTGAGTGAAAACCTCCTTCCATCAGCAAGGGCATTGAAGATGAAACGTGGCTGGGTCTTTCAGCATGACAATGATCCCAAACACACCGCCCGGGCAACGAAGGAGTGGCTTCGTAAGAAGCATTTCAAGGTCCTGGAGTGGCCTAGCCAGTCTCCAGATCTCAACCCCATAGAAAATCTTTGGAGGGAGTTAAAAGTCTGTGTTGCCCAGCGACAGCCCCAAAACATCACTGCTCTAGAGGAGATCTGCATGGAGGAATGGGCCAAAAATACCAGCAACAGTGAGTGAAAACCTTGTGAAGACTTACAGAAAACGTTTGACCTGTGTCATTGCCAACAAAGGGTATATAACAAAGTAATGAGAAACTTTTGTTATTGACCAAATACTTATTTTCCACCATAATTTGCAAATAAATTCATTAAAAATCCTACAATGTGATTTTCTGGATTTTTTTTCCTCATTTTGTCTGTCATAGTTGACGTGTACCTATGATGAAAATTACAGGCCTCTCTCATCTTTTTAAGTGGGAGAACTTGCACAATTGGTGGCTGACTAAATACTTTTTTTCCCCACTGTATATTTGGCAACAGAGAAGAGTCTAGCAGTTATGCAAAGCAACAACTAGTTAGAACATTACTTATTTGGGTAATGCACCTCACATATCAATCCTCTGTGCATAGTCATGATGTAGGGAGGCTCACACGTTGCTTTTCACTATGTTGTCTCGGTGACAATGACAAATATAACTCATTAGAATGTCCCTTTCACTGACCATGTCTCCCACTGATGGTTTTTCTCTCTCTCTCACTCTTTCTTCCTCTCCCTGTACTCCATCATCACCATCATCACCACCATCATCATCATCATCATTATCATCATCATCACCACCACCACCATCACCACCACCACCACCACCATCATCATCATCACCATAATCACCATCATCACCATCATCATCACCATTATTTATCACCATCATCATCATCATCATGACCAGTTATTCACTCACAGCCTTGGTCCCAGTGGTGGGGTCTTTGACATATTGGGTTGTCTGCGTCCGGATCAGAGCGTCATCAATCACTCCTTTGCTGCTGGGATCCTGCTGCTCTTTGGACCCCACACAGCCCATGGTGGAAGAACCTAACAATTTGTTATTTAAAAAAAATATCAGTCAGAATACAATGTCATTTACTACAGTAGCTACAGTTTGGATTTACTTTCATTACATCCTAAGAGCAACTGTTTACTGTACTGTTTCCCACACAGGCATACATGAAACCCAAGACCCACTCCAATTTGCATACCGCCCCAACAGATCCACAGATGATGCAATCTCTATTGCACTCCACACTGCCCTTTCCCACCTGGCAAGAGGAACACCTACGTGAGAATGCTGTTCATTAGACTACAGCTCAGCGTTCAACACCATAGTGCCCTCAAAGCTCATCACTAAGCTAAGGATCCTGGGACTAAACACCTCCCTCTGCAACTGGATCCTGGACTTCCTGACGGGCCGCCCCCAGATGGTAAGGGTAGGTAACAACACATCTGCCACGCTGATCCTCAACACGGGGGCCCCTCAGGGGTGCGTGCTCAGTCCCCTCCTGTACTCCCTGTTCACCCATGACTGCATGGCCAGGCACGACTCCAACACCATCATTACGTTTGCTGACGACACAACAGTGATAGGCCTGATCACCGACAACGATGAGACAGCCTATAGGGAGGAGGTCAGAGACCTGGCCGTGTGGTGCCAGGATAACAACCTCTCCCTCAATGTGACCAAGACAAAGGAGATGATTGTGGACTACAGGAAAAAAAAGAGGACTGAGCACGCCCCCATTTTCATAGACGGGGCTGTAGTGGAACAGGTTGAGAGCTTCAAGTTCCTTGGTGTCCACATCACCAACAAACTATCATGGTCCAAACACACCAAGACAGTCGTGAAGAGGGCACGACAAAGCCTATTCCCCCTCAGGAGACTGAAAAGATTTGGCATGGGTCCTCAGATCCTCAAAGAATTCTACAGCCGCATCATCGAGAGGCTCTTGACTGGTTGCATCACCGCCTGGTATGGCAACTGCTTGGCCTCCGACCGCAAGGCACTACAGAGGGTAGTGCGTACGGCCCAGTACATCACTGGGGCCAAGCTTCCTGCCATCCAGGACCTCTATACCAGGCGGGTGTCAGAGGAAGGCCCTCAAAATTGTCAAAGACTCCAGCCACCCTAGTCATAGACTGTTCTCTCTGCTACCATACCGCACGGCAAGCGGTACCGGAGTGCCAAGTCTAGGTCCAAAAGGCTTCTCAACAGCTTCTACCCCCAAGCCATAAGACTCCTGAACAGCTAATCATTGCTACCCGGACTATTTACACTGCCCCCCCCCCCCCCCACCCCCCCCTCTTTTATGCAAAAAAAAGAATAAAAAAAAAAAAATGCATTGTTGGTTAAGGGCTTATAAGTAAGCATTTCACTGTAATGTCTACAACTGTTGTTTTCGGCGCATGTGGCAAATACAATTTGATTTGATTTGATTTGATTACACTGCTGTTTAAAAGCAAAACAATTCTAGAAGTCTTCCTAATCACCAGAGCGACACCAAACTAGAAACACCCAGCCACGCCTTTGGGACAGCAGAGGCATACATGTCTTATTGGACATTTGGTGGCATGAAGAGCTCTTTGTTTTTCAAATAAAACCATAACTTAGTAACGCTGTGGGTGGAGTCATATGGTCTGTGTAAAATATTTAAAAGAGGGATATTAGACAAAGGGGGAATTCTTTTGATTGAACAGAGCCTATGTCTGTGTGAGAGAGACAGGACTGTCATTTTATGGTTCATCTGTGTTGACATAAACAGATGAGCTGGAGTATTATAAGACTGAGCGTGAGAGAGAGTGAGAGAGAGAGAGGGATAGAGAGAGAGAGAGAGAGAGAGAAGAGAGAGATAGAGATGAGAAGAGAAGAGAGAGATGAGAGAGATAATAGAGAGAGAGAGAGTGAGAGAACAGAGAGTGAGAGAGACGAGAGAGAGAGGAGAGGTCCTCTCTCGCGCTATTCCGCTCTTCTCGTCTCTTCCCTCCTCTTCTCCTCGCTTGCCCTCTCCTCTCCTCGCATCTCTCTCCTCTCTCTCCTCTCTCTCCTCCTCTCTCCTCTCCTCCCTCCTCCCTCTCTGCTCTCCCCTCTTCTCCTTCCTCTCTCTCCTCTTCTCCGCCTCCTGCTCTCTCCTCTCCTCTCTCTCCTCTCTCTCTCGCTCTCTCTCTCCTCCTCCTCTCTCTCCCCCTCCGCTCTCTCCTCTTCTCTCTCTTCTTCTCTCCTCTCTCACCTCTCCCTCTCTCTCTCCCTCTCTCTCTCTCCTCTCTCTCTCTCTCTCTCCTCTCTCTCTCTCTCTCTCCTTCTTTTTCTCTTCTCCTGCTCTCTCCTCCTCTCTCTCTCTCTCTCTCGCTCTCTCTCTCTCTCTCTCCCTCTCTCTGCTCTCTCCTCTCTCTCTGCTCTCTCCTCTCTGCGTCTCTCTCTCTCTCTCCCTCGTCATCTTCGCCCTCTGCTCCCTGAGCTATTACTGTAACATAACAGAAGAAAATGTGACTGAAGCCATCATAGAGGTTAGCTTTCTGGGCTCGTATTCACAAAGCAGCTCAGTATAGGAGGGCTGATCTCGGATCGGGTCTCCCCTGTCCATATAATCATGTTCATTATGATCTAAAAGGAAAAACTGGCCCTAGATCAGTACTCGTGAGACACTTTGTGAATATGGGCCCTGAACACATTTTACTGCACTCACTCTTTTAGGATGTGGAGGAGTGCTGCTGGATTACAGCCATGTATCTCATCTCATGACATGGTCACGGAGAATTTTTCACATCAACAGTTACGCAAAGCTTCCAATTGGCTAATTCATCCCCCCTCCTCTCCCCTGTAACTATCCCCCCAGGTCGTTGCTGTAAATGAGTATGTGTTCTCAGTCAACTGACCTGGTAAAATAAGGGTAAATAAAAAATGGCTGTATACAACCACTTGATGAAAAATAATATTCACTTCCCTTTTCCATTTAAATGGTGTTCCTCTTTGCTTGCTCTGTTACAGGAGGATCAGATTATTTTTGATCAGTTCAAGTTTAACTTCCAGCAAAGCCGTTTATGCTTACACGGTTTTAATTTCGATTAGTTAATAGGCAGCTAATGCACACCCAAAACTGATTAGTGAAGATGCTGGAGGAAAAATGAAAACTGATTAGTGAAGATGCTGGAGGAGAAATGAAAACTGATTAGTGAAGATGCTGGAGGAGAAATGAAAACTGATTAGTGAAGATGCTGGAGGAAAAATGAAAACTGATTAGTGAAGATGCTGGAGGAGAAATGAAAACTGATTAGTGAAGATGCTGGAGGAGAAATGAAAACTGATTAGTGAAGATACTGGAGGCGAAATGAAAACTGATTCCTTACATAGTACACTCAAATACCACTCAAAAGGCCAAAACACAAGAATGTGTATGGTTATTGTGACTGGAAAAGGTTCAGTCTACCATGATGCTTCTCCGTGCCAGTTTTCCAAGTTACAGGTAGCCTATTGGAAGACACACCCCGAATCTCAGGAGAAGACGTTTCTTCTTGCCTATCAAGGCTGAATCATGATAAAGTGTCTGCCCGCCCAGTAGTCCAAAGCTTCTCATCCGTCTACAAACCTCCTCGGACTCGTATCAACCACTCCATCCCCTATTTATCGAATCAAACCATGACACACATGCCATGCACTTCCTGTACAAAGGAAGTTGACTGGAGGTGAAGCCCTGACCATCCTTCCCCTCTCCATCCATCTCTCCTGCAGTCTCTTGATCCAATCAGCCCCCCAACCATCCTCCTCATGTCTCTGGGAGTGTCTGTCTGTCTGTCTCCAACCCACCATATTACCCACAGATGCAAATCTAGTGAGCTGTGAAAGCCCTGCGCCATGAGTGCCTCAGGCCCTAACTGCTATCATGGCATCTGATGCAGGGCAGGCGGCGGGCGGCTGCAGCTGGGACTGGACACCGTGTGAAAAGGAAAAACTGCACTGCTAAACCTCCCCTGCTCGCCTCTCACGCTTACACACTGCGATGCCAGCCCCCAGGCACCATACACACAGGACGCTTTGCATTGGGAGGATTTGTCTCTGCAATTAGGAGAGGGGCAGTATGGCACGAGGTTCTCTGATAGGCTTCTCCAGCATTAAGTATGGACTTCCTGTTTCCTGAAGTAGAACTTTGAGAAACACTTGGCCTGATGAAACACCGATAGAACTATAGGAACTATTGTTAAGGGAAATGTGAGGGTTTCCAGCACAAGTTGATGCAATCATCATGTGGTATGAAGCAAATTGGGTCTTACATATTAAGTAGATTGACTCATCAGATATCCATGCAAGATTAGCATTGATAAAAAATAGTAGGCTATGCCAATAATTTCTTAGGGCGTGGAACATATGGAAAATGAAAACAGAGATGGAAGAAAGTGACCATTTACTTAGTTTTTGTTAACAAAATGCACCATTACTACACTCTTAGAAAAAAAGGTGCTATCTAGAACCTAAAGCGGTTCTTCAGCTGTCCCCATAGGAGAACCCTTTGAGGAACCCTTTTTGGTTCCAAGTACAACCCTTTTGCTTCCAGGTAGAACCCTTTTTGTTTCCATGTAGAACCCTCTGTGTAAAGGGTTCTACATGGAAACAAAAAGGGTTCTACCTGGAACCAAAACTGGTTCTACCTGGAACCAAAAAGGGTTCTCCTATGGGGACAGCCGATGAACCTTTTTCAAACCCTTTTTTCTAAGAGTGTATTTTCCCTCAATAAATAGATTAGAAACCATGAATAGGTGTTGCACCTGTAAATACACAATGTGAATATTGTAGGTGGTGTATCAGTAGGATAAGCAATAACTTTTGGTTCCTCTTCCTCATTTTTGAATAAGGTAGCCTAGGCAACAAAGCAGCTAGAGACAGAGGGTTCAGCTAAATGAAAAATAACTAGGCTACATGTCTCAACATTTCTGGGCTAAGTAAACACATTTTTGTTGTTTTGTTGTTGATGAAGAAACCGTTAAAATACATTTAACATTTACCACCATTTATGTGAACATTCTAATTCTGTAGTTTCTCAACTATCATCAGTGTACGGACAACATATACAAACCAATAGCACTGCAATATAGCCTACACAATAACACGGTCATAACCCTTTAATGCGCAATTTTCATAATGCCACTGAATGACCCAGATGGGAACCGCTTAAGACAACATCCATCTGTTCGTCCTCTTATTTTATTCTTTAAGAAATGCATATTGCCTATGGATATCAGTGAGTAGGTTAGACATATTCCCCTTCGTGGTCTAGAAGAAAAAAATGAGAGAGAATTACCTCGTTCCAACCAGCTGTATAATCCTTGGCCGCTATATGGCTATATGGTCTTCTAACCCCGAATTACTTGTATTCTTTAGAAAGCACTTATTTTTATTTTATGTCGGCTCCTCCATCCCGACCCGTGATTATAATTCCGATAGAAAGTCCAGAAGGGTGCGTTTTAGTTTTATACGAGGAAGTTAGTGCGTCGGCTCGCATGTAACTGTAGACGAGGAACTTTCTCTCTGGCTCTCTGTCACTGGCTCTGTCACATCAATGATGACACTGATATCTTTGAGGGCATTTTTTTTTTTTTTTTTTTTTTTTACTCTTCCGGAAAGTATTGGAGCAAGAATAGAGATGGGCTGAATATGGACAGTTAAAATACACATAAGAAATACAAATACGAAAATACACACTATCTTTCTTGAAAATAAATTCAATTTAAAATATACTGTAGTTAGCCTATCTCTGTCTATGTACAGTGAACTATTTTTGTGCCTTGAATTGGAAAAGTTGTCTTGATTAATAAAGTGACTCTACATGTCTACAGCTTGTTTTGGTACCTGCTGTAAGATATTATCTATGTTGAATATCCTAAATTGCACATAATTGCTGTATCAATTCTCAATATATTTTTTTACATTTTAGTCATTTAGCAGACGCTCTTATCCAGAGCGACTTACATCAGCAATTAGGGTTAAGTGCCTTGCTTAAGGGCACATCGACAGATTTTTCACCTAGTCGGCTCGGGGATTAGAACCAGCGACCTTTCGGTTACTGGCTCTTTCGGTTACTGGCTCTTTCGGTTACTGGCACAACGCTCATAACCTTCCTCTTTGTAAACTAAAATTCATATATATGCTGAAATTAGATCCTGAATGGCATGGGGACAGCGTTTTATTAGCCTTTAGCCCTAGCAGCATGCTCCACTGGAGTCTCACAGGCAACATCCCACAGTCACTGAGGGCATGGATGGAGCAGGGTGGTGTGGGCAGATTGGGTTAGGTCAGGACAAAAAAATATCCCCTGGCTCTTGAACTAATCCTTAATCAAATGTCAGGATTAAAGACCAATGTCCTCTGAGCCACAGCTTGAAAGAGAAAGGGAAAAGGAGGGTCTTAGATGGGACAAGGCTTTGGCCTCAGACTCTGCAGCCTTAATTCAGAAATGTAGATGTATAAGTGAATGCATACTCATCTGATCATCTCCATCAATGCTTCCTCCGGGTCTCAATGCCATCAGATCTGCTTCAACTCCCTGATAATCCACCATCCCTTCCACTCCCTTCAATGTATTGATTTGTTGTTCTTTATACTTTGTACAATCCAGCTTTTAGCTGACATACAGTTGAAGTCAGAAGTTTACATACACTTATGTTGGAGTCATTAAAACTCGTTTTTCAACCACTCCACAAATTTCTTGTTAACAAACTATAGTTTTGGCAAGTCGGCTAGGACATCTACTTTGTGCATGACACAAGTAATTTTTCCAACAATTGTTTACAGACAAATTATTTCACTTATAATTCACTGTATCACAATTCCAGTGGGTCAGAAGTTTACATACACTAAGTTGACTGTGCCTTTAAACAGCTTGGAAAATTCCAGAAAATGATGTCATGGCTTTAGAAGCTTCTGATAGGCTAATTGACATAATTTGAGTCAATTGGAGGTGTACCTGTGGATGTATTTCAAGGCCTACCTTCAAACGCAGTACCTCTTTGCTTGACATCATGGGAAAATAAAAAGAAATCAGCCAAGACCTCAGAAAAGAAATTGTGGACCTCCACAAGTCTGGTTCATCCTTGGGAGCAATTTCCAAATGCCTGAAGGTACATTTTACATTTACATTTACGTCATTTAGCAGACGCTCTTATCCAGAGCGACTTACAGTTAGTGAGTGCATACATTTTTTTCATACTGGCCCTCCGTGGGTACCACGTTCATCTGTACAAACAATAGCACGCAAGTATAAACACCATGGGACTACGCAGCCGTCATACCGCTCAGGAAGGAAACGCGTTCTGTCTCCTAGAGATTAACGTACTTTGGTGCGAAAAGTGCAAATCAATCCCAGAACAAAGGACCTTGTGAAGATGCTGGAGGAAACAGGTACAAAAGTATCTATATCCACAGTAAAACAAGTCCTATATCTACATAACCTGAAAGGCCGCTCAGCAAGGAAGAAGCCAATGCTCCAAAACCATCATAAAAAAGCCAGACAACGGTTTACACCAGCTCTGTCAGGAGAAATGAGCCAAAATTCACCCAACTTATTGTGGGAAGCTTGTGGAAGGCTACCCGAAATGTTTGACCCAAGTTAAACAATTTAAAGGCAATGCAACCAAATACTAATTGAGTGTATGTAAACTTCTGACCCACTGGGAATGTGATGAAAGAAAGAAAAGCAAAAAATAAATCATTCTCTCTACCATTATTCTGACATTTCACATTCTTAAAATAAAGTGGTGATCCTAACTGACCTAAAACAGGGATGTTTTACTAGGATTAAATGTCAGGAATTGTGAAAAACTGAGTTCAAATGTATTTGGCTAAGGTGTATGTAAACTTTTGACTTCAACTGTAGATAACAAACAGTGAACGGGGGGGGGGGGGGGTCAATATAAATAGTCTGGGTGGTGTGCCTGGGTGAGTGAAGTCTTTGACAATGTTTTTGGCCTTCCTCTGACACTGCCTAGTATATAGGTCCTGGATGGCAGGAAACGTATCCCCAGTGATGTACTGGGCCGTACACACTACCCTCTGTAGCGCCTTATGGTAGGATGCCGAGCAGTTGCCATGCCAGGCAGTGATTCAACCATTCAGGATGCTCTCGATGGTGCAGCTGTATAACTTTTTGAGGATTTGGGGACCCATGCAAAATCCTTTTAGTCTCCTGAGGGGGAAAAGGTGTTGTCGTGCCCTCTTCACGACTATCTTGGTGTGTTTGGACCATGATAATTTGTTGGTGATGTGGACACCAAGGAACATGAAACTTGAAACTTGAAGCTCGTTTGGAGGTTTGTTAACACAATGCACTTATTGATGAAGCCGGTGACTGAGGTGGTATACTCCTCAATGCCATTGAATGAATCCCGGGAACATTCCGGAACATATTCCAGTCTGTGCTAGCAAAACAGTCCTCTAGCGTTGCATCCGCGTCATCTGACCACTTCCGTATTGCGCGAGTCACTGGTACTTCCTGCTTTAGTTTTTGCTTGTAAGCAGGAATCAGGAGGATATAATTATGGTCAGATTTGCCAAATGGAGGGCGAGGGAGAGCTCTGTGTGTGGAGTAAAGGTGGTCTAGAGATGTATTTCCTCTGGTTGCACATGTTACATGCTGGTAGAAATTAAGTGAAAGGGATTTAAGTTTACCTGCATTAAAGTCCCTGGCCACTAGGAGCGCCGCTAATGGATGAGCATTTTCTCGTTTGTTTATGGCCTTATACAGCTCGTTGAGTGCGGTCTTAGTGCCAACATCGGTTTGTGGTGGTAAATAGATGGCTACGAGAAATATAGATGAAACCTCTCTTGGTAGATAGTGTGGTCTACAGCGTATCATGAGGTACTCTACCTCAGGCGAGCAATACCTCGAGACTTCCTTAATGTTAGACATCGCGCACCAGCTATTATTGACAAATAGACACACACCAGACGTAGCTGCTCTGTCCTGCCGATGCACGGAAAACCCAGCCAACTGTATATTATCTGTGTCGTCGTTCAGCCACGACTCGGTGAAACATAAGATATTACAGTTTTTCATGTCCCGTTGGTAGGATAATCTCGAACTGAGATCATCCAGTTTATTCTCCAGTGATTGCACGTTGGCCAATAGAACGGATGGTAGAGGCGGGTTACCCACTCACCAACGAATTCTCACAAGGCACCCTGATCTCCGCCCCCTGTATTTCCGTCTTTTCTTCACTCGAATGACAGGGATTTGGGCCTGGTCTCGGAGAAGCAGTTCGAGGTGAGTAATCACTGTTCTGATATCCAGATGCTCTTTTCGGTCATAAGAGATGGTAGCAGCAACATTATGTACAAAATAAGTTACAAAAAGAACAACAAACAGAATAGAATAAATCTAAATAACTCCTCCTCTTTATCTTCTTTATCCCCTCCCCCTCTCCTTAACCTTTCTTTTTCTCTCACTATAACACACATACTTACAGATATTATATATATATATATATATATATATATATACAGTTGAAGTCGGAAGTTTACATACACCATAGCCAAATACATTTAAACTACATTTTTCACAATTCCTGACATTTTATCCTAGTAAGAATTCCCTGTTTTAGGTCAGTTAGGATCACCACTTTATTTTAAGAACGTGAAATGTCAGAAAAATAGTAGAGAGAATGTCTTCACTATTATCATTCTACAATGTAGAAAATAGTAAAAAATAAAGAAAAACCCTGGAATAAGTAGGTGTGTCCAAACTTTTGACTGGCACTGTACATTGCACCATGAACATTCCTGCTAGGATATGAGGATGGTTATGGAGATCATTTAAAAACGGCTCAGTACTGTTCCAACTTGATAGTAAGACAACGGCTCAGTACTGTTTACTTGACAGTAACACAATGACTCTTTGCTCGCCTGAGCGTGGGCCCTCCATATGCAAAGCAGACTGGAGAATGAGGAACTTCACCTGTGTGATACAGAGATAACCTTCATAATTACTCATGCAATTATGTGTGTGGCTGCCTGTATACAAATCTAGTAACACCAAAGGTGATTCATCCCTTTCCAACTTTGGGATCACAGATGAGGGAACGTGGGCTGGGTGAGAAACACCAGGGGTAATCTTGGACATCTGTGATCTCTGATCTAGTATAGAAAGCCCTTCAGTTGTATGTCTATAATTATATGTATGGTACTGTCTATGGTGCTGCATGTGTGTTACAGGGAATGTTGTCAAAAGTTTGAAAATCAGAAATATTCCCATCATATGAAATTATTAACACATACACAGTGCCTTCGGAAAGTATTCAGACCCCTTGACTTTTTCCACATTTTGTTACGTTACAGACTTATTCTAAAATGGATTTAAAACAAAAATAATCTCAGCAATCTACACACAATACCCCATAATGACAAAGGGAAAACAGGTTTTTAGACATTTTTGCAAATGTATAAAAAATTAAAAACAGAAATACCTTATTTACATAAGTATTCAGGTACCAAAACAATGTCTGCAGCATTGAAGGTCTCCAAGAACACAGTGGCCTCTATCATTCTTAAATGGAAGAAGTTTGGAACCACCAAGACTCTTCCTAGAGCTGGCCGCCTGGACAAAGCAATCGGGGGAGAAGGGCCTTGGTCTGGCTGGTGACCAATAACCTGATGGTCTGTCTGACAGAGTTCTAGAGTTCCTCTGTGGAGATGGGAGAATCTTCCAGAAGGTCAACCATCTCTGCAGTACTCCACCAATCAGGCCTTTATGGTAGAGTGGCGAAACGGAAGCCACTCCTCAGTAAAAGGCACATGACAGCCCGCTTGGAGTTTGCCAAAAAGCACCTAAAGACTCTCAGACCATGAGAAACAGATTCTCTGTTCTGATGAAACCAAGATTGAACTCTTTGGCCTGAATGCCAAGCGTCACTTCTGGAGGAAACCTGGCACCATCCCTACGGTGAAGCATGGTGGTGGCAGCATCATGCTGTGGGGATGTTTTTCAGCGGCAGGGACTGGGAGACTAGTCAGGATTGAGGCAAAGATGAATGGAGCAAAGTACAGAGAGATCCTTGATGAAAACCTACTCCAGAGCGCTCAGGACCTCAGACTGGGGCGAAGGTTCACGTTCCAACAGGACAACGACCCTAAGCACACAGCCAAGACAATGCAGGAGTGGCTTCGGGCAAGTCTCTGAATATCCTTGAGTGGCCCAGCCAGAGCCTGGACTTGAAACCGATTGAACATCTCTGGAGAGACCTGAAAATAGCTGTGCAGCAACGCTCCCCATCCAACCTGACAGAGCTTGAGAGGATCTGCAGAGAAGAATGGGAGAAACTCTCTAAATACAGGTGTGCCAAGTTTTTAGCGTCATACCCAAGATGAATCGAGGCTGTAATCGCTGCCAAAGGGTCTGAATACTTATGTAAATGTGATATTTATTTATTATAACAATTTAATCCATTTTAGAATAAGGCTGTAACGTAACTAAATGTGGAACAAGTCAAGGGATCTGAATACTTTCCGAAGGCAGTGTATTGATTTCAAAATAACTTAGTGTTAGATGAGATCCATCCGTGTGTTCACTGTGGTGTCGATTTCCTGTGACTGGGCTGGAAATGGAGGGGTTTCCACACTGCTGGTCTGATGACGACAACATGGTCACATAACATCATAGACCAAAGAAACGTTTCCAGGCAGTGTTATCATTCAACTAACCATGTTTTATTTATCAGCACATTGTTAGGATATATTCAAACAACAGGAGAACAAACTGCCAATGTAACAATAAAGTCTGCGTTTTTATGACACATTCAATATTTATTTAATAGCCAGTGTCTAAGCGCTTGAATATTCTTAACCTTCATTACAAAAAGAAAGCATAAGCATATAATATTTCAAAGTCATATAAATTGAATACAACAGATTTGTACACAGAGTCAACATGGTAGAGAAGAGCACTCTGGAACACTCGGCTGCACTAAGTTCACATGTTGTCCACTGACCATGAACACAATGGACATAACATTAGTGAAACAGCAGAGATCAATGAGAGAGTTCATAATGGCCTCAAAGCTATGGGTGTTGTTCCCCTTTCATACCCCCCCCCCCCCCCCCCCCCCCCCCCCCCCCCCCCCCCTCCTCTTACACCCTACATTACTCCACCACATTAACACAATGTGTGTAGCAGCCGCAAGTGGAAAGTTAAGACTTGCTTAATATGTGCTTTCTGAAAACCAAAAAGAGGAAGGATAACATTTTGTTTTTTTATTTGTTTTTGGGGCGGGGTCATTTGGGTGAGCGGGTGGAAGTTGTAACAAAAATAGCAAGACTGGAGAGACAGTTCTGCCAGGAAGAATACATAGAGAGAGAGAGAGAGAGAGATAGAGAGAGAGAGAGAGAGATAGAGATAGAGAGAGATATATAGAGAGAGAGAGAAGAAGAAATATAAGAGATAGAGAGAGAGAGAGGACTCTCTCTATACGCTATTCTCCTCTCTCTAGCTTCTCTCTCTTCTCTCGATAGCTTCGAGATATATATTAGCACCCCCGTAGCAGAATGACTCCCCCTGTGTGGCCTTCAGAGACGACAGCAATGCTGGGAAGTCAGTGTGAAAGACATTCTTTATCAGTTGGAGGAGTATTTAGTATTGATCACAAGGCTATTATCTAGTTAGTCACTATCAAGGTTATTCCATTGAAATTCATGAAGCCCACTAGCTAGCACCCTAAGGACGACAGTCAGATGGAAGTCTTTGGCACTGTTCCAGTCCCAGTGAGGGCGTCATCACCGTTGCAGTCAGGGTGGAACACAGCTGACAGAGGTCCTCCGGGGGACCACAATGCCTTGTTCCTCTTTCTTAAATGGCTAAGGGAAGAGGCACAACAAAAATGGGCTTTATGTTTCAGTGTGTTTTTTTTTTTGTTTCACTACCCCATCCGCTCTTTCTCTCTCTCTTCTTAAGAGAGGGACATTTCCTGTGAAAGTGACACAATCTACTGACACTTATGCCAACTCACAGCTCTCTGCGTCCTCCCCCAACAGGATGGGTAGCCTTTTCTCATCATAGAGGTCTTGAAAACCTTCAATGATGGTTTCAAATTTGTCGAAATGAAACTCTAATTGCTTTATATTTTTGACATTTTGTCAGGAAATGCAGCTCTGTCTCAGCTTCTCTCTCTCTCTTTCCATCCTTACCCTCTTTGTCTGTGTCCAGCCCAGTCCTCTTTGATCTCTGGCTTGTCACAGACTCAGACAGACTGCCCTCCACTTCCTGGTGGTCTGAGCTGCTCCCTGACTGTAAATGTCCAACAATGACATGACACTAACTGTAAATGACCTCAGATCAGTTTCAGTTTATACACTGTGAACATATAGGGAGAGTAGACGCTTGCCTTGCCGTTGGAGAAAAGTTGCTTCTGCAATCCAGAATTCAGAGCCTCAAGGAGCACCACTGTAATGACAGATAAACATCAATGAACATATTAACACACGCATGGACACACCTGTACATGCCCTTGTACCTGTACACATAGCTTTGTCGTGGTGTCCTGTACCTGGACGCAGTGAGATGGTCAGAACAGGGACTTTCCTGTCCTCAGAGTCCTTTCCTGTCCTTTGATCTATTTTCCCCTCAGCTTCCTCCTTCTCTGACTGCTCTTCCTCCTGTGGATGGGGTTAGACATATTACATGACTAAATCACATGTGTGTATGGTATGTCTATTTCACATGCTAATTGATATATGCAGGGTCCAGTAGAGCACCTTGAGGTTGTGGTTGCTGGGGCTTTGCCTCTGTTGGCTGGTGGGACGTGTAGAAGAGGAGGATGAGGGAAGAGCAGGTGGGGAGGAAGAGGAGGATGAGGAAGAGGGGGGACAGGCCTGGCTCTGTGGCGAGGAGTCTGTCCTGGTTGCCCTGTTAGATGTCTGTCCTTCTACGTCCTGCAGCTTGGGGCTGGGCTTGCTGTCCTGTAGTGACTTACTGCTTTTGGACCTCCCAAGATCAGACAGGTCCAGAGGAGCGTCAGCCTCTTTCAGACACTCCCCAAACACCCTCTCTGGCTGCACAACCACCTCCCTCCATGAGAGCGGCGCCTCCCGCATGTCATGGTCCTGGACCCATGCTGTTGGTCTCTCCCCATGCTCAGCTGACAAACTCCTAGTCAGGCTGGCTTGGTGAGGGTGGCTGGGCTTGGGCCAGGCTTGCCCAGTGCTGCTGCTCTGCTGGACCAAGGTCTGGAGGTTGGGGAAGTGTGGAAGGTTGGGGTTAGGGTTGGGGTGGGACACCAAGCACTCGTCCACAGAGGTGGCCAGGGTGACCCAGTCAGAGTGCTCCGGCATGGGCCAGGGGAGGGAGAGACGGGTACTCTTGATGGGGCGCGGCCGGTAGGGGAACGGAGCATGGACCAGGTGACGGCTGTGCTTCCCATCTCCAGGTAGAGAGGAAGAGGTGGATGAGGAGGATGAGGAGGAGGAGGAAGGGAGAGGGTTGTTCTTTTGGACAAGCAGGTGGTGGGGAATGGAGGGAGCGACAGGGGAGCGCTGCTGGCCAACCAATTCCACACTATGGGCTCTAAGAGGAGAGGAGAGAGGGAAGGGGGAAGAGGAGAGAGGGAATGGGAGAGGAGAAGATGGGCTTGGGCTAGAACGAGAAGAGGGACGATATGAGCTTGAATGAAGTTACTTTTTTCCGCTCCCCTCCGTCCGTCTCGTATCGGGCAGCTAGTGGCTGGGGCCGAGCCGCTCTTTCCGCTCTGCATACGTCTGTGCCGCTGGCGCGGGCCTACGCTTGCTGTGGGCCTCTGCGCGTCGGGCATCTACGGCTCGGCTGGGGCCTCTTGACTCGTTGCTGTGTGCCGCGTCTTCTCTTTCCGCGCGGCTCTGTGCGTGCCGCGTCTCGCGGTCACTCTCTGATCTTCCTCTCTGCTCTTTCTGGTGCCGCTTCTCTCGTGCCTCTCTTGCTGGTTGCCTCTTCTCTCGTTCCTACTCGGCGCGGGCTGGTGTTCTCTGCTCTCGGTGTCTTTCTCCTCTCTCTTTCTCTCTGTCCGCTTTGCTTTTGCTCTTCTCTCTGGTAGCCCTCTTCTCTTTCTTGTGGGTCTCTGCCGCTGGCCGCTCTGTCTGTCGTTTTCCGCGCCTCCTTCGTCTGCGGCTCTTGCCGAGCGTGCTGTGCCTCACTCGTTTGCCACGCCTCCGTCCTGTCTCTTATCTTGTCCTCTTATCTCATTTCCGCGCTGCTGCGCGCGTGTTCTTCTTTTTGGGCGCTGCCTCTTTCCCTCTCTCTCGTGGGTGTTTTCCTGCTTCTCGTCGTTAGCACTCGTCTTCTCCATCGCTTGGCACCCACGATTTTCGTAATGTTCTCTTTGGGTATCAAGCTGTGCAAGGTTGCTTACTTTCCTTCGTGCTTTTACTTTTTAATCAACTGATACTGGTGTTGACCCGTTCTCTTTACCTGCTGGCTGTCTCCTTTTACTAGTTTCCCTCTCCTCTCGTTAGGTCACCCTACTCTGCGTATTTGCTTTCTGGAGGCAGAATAGTAAGGTGTTTCACTTGGGGGGGACTGGACTTTCCCTCGTTGGAGGTTCAATTTTAAACGGCGGGGCTCACTGTCTCATTTATCTCATTTCTTCTCCCTCGCTTGTTCTTTGCCTCCGGGGGTTTCTACTCGCTCTTTCTCCCTATGTGGCTGTTTTTCCTTTTCTTATTGCGTGTTCTCTTCCTCACTGCTGCTCCCTCTTCTGCCCCTTATGGTTTGTTTGCCTCAGGCGGTACTGTGCTCTGGGCCTCGTGGATGTGATGGGATTGGACATGGATAGGGGCTTATGGGATACCTGTGTGAGATAAAAAGAGAGACGGTAGCTGAGAGAGGACATTTTGACCTGTGATATATTGATAGATATTTTTAGTTAACGATTTCTTATAGACAAACAAAATTGTTTACAAAGGATTGTTTTCCATTCCATCCCCTCACGTGTCTACGTTCAGGTACTGTCTCTGTTTTCTCAAAAAGACAAGAAGAAAATAAATCCTGATGATTATACTGGTGATGATGATGATGAGTTATCATTAAATGACTGTAAATCCTTTAGGTTCACGACGAAAAGTATTTTCTTTCCTCTCACCGTCAGCTCCAAAATAAAGGCTGTGGTCCGTCTCAGTCTTCACTATGGACAGCCCTGCAGTGGCGCCCACTGGTGGCTGGTTAATAGACCTGATGGCTGTAGGGATGTGTGGCATAGCAGAAGGTGAAAGGTCAGCAGACTGTCTGACCTCTGGAGTTGCATCCTGGGAGGAGGAATGTCCACTCTGACCTCTGAAATGACAAGTATGTTTACGCTCCCAACACTCAAGATAAAATCACAGGTAATCAAAAACACAGACTCACATGTAGTAAGAAATACATAACTTACTCTAGTGCCCCTCTCAGACGCCGGACTTCCTCTCGCAGCCTCTGGTTCTCCTTTTTCATTGTGTTCATCTCTCCAGCTACAAAATAAAAAATACCCCCAGGCCATGGCTAATGTTAAAGTACTGCACTGTAGCTACAAAACAGGGAGCATAGTTGGATCTTTGCACAATGCTTGAGAGGCATGTGGCGAAGGGGACCCCAGAGTCTCATCAGTAGTGCTAGTACACAGTTCTCTGTTTGGATGCTGGAATTATTTTGGAGGGGACGAAGATGCACAGAACTTTTTTTGGAGTGGTTTGTTTGACAATAACATGAAAATATCATGACTGGTTTTTCCCCCAAATGTTTTTTTAAACATACCGTTAAGCAACAACTCTATAATTAGGTCCATAAACATTTTTGGGTCACAAAGGAGGTCCCGTCAAAAAAAAAGAATAGAGATCCCCTAGATGTCACGGTATAATTCGCACTCTGGATGGGGTTGATGTGATGTGTTAGCTGTTAGCTACCCAGGATGGCGATGTGATGGAGGCTCTGGATCTGAGCGGTTTCATACTCCTGCTGCCGACGCTTGGCCACATCCTGAGTCACAGTACACCTGTCACACAGCCCCGCCCTCAACCTACAGCACAGAGGTCAGCGGGGGTCAAACACTGACACACATTGAGCTAGAGGCACACCGGTGTTAAAGTAACGGTCCAGTGAAATACTTGAGTGAAATACTTTTCCTAAAAACAAAAAGGTAATTAAAATATGTTAAAAAGCAGATGTTCTGTGTTGGAAATGTTGTGGGCGTATACCGGTCATTAAATATATTGATACGAGTAGACCGCTGATTGGCCAGCTCAGCCAATGAGGCAGGATGACATCATTCTCTATGAGGAAATATCCAATCAAATCAAATTTTATTTGTCACATGCACCGAATGTAACAGGTGTAGACTTTACCGTGAAATGTTTATTCGCGAGCCCTTTATCAACAATGCAGAGTAAAAAACTATAATAATTGCAAGCATTCTTTAAATGGCCTGTTTGAGATACAAGTTTGAGGTGGCCTTTTTAAAGTGTTTTATTCTCCAATTTATGCGTTGGCTACAAATACGAGTAGAAGACGAGTCAGCAACATTATTTGGGTATGAGTTAACAGAATATGAACTTTTAAAAGTGAGATTTTCACTGGACAGTTACTTTAAAACAGCATACACAAAGACACACTAAAAATAATATAATACTATAATTATATAATATATATGTCATTTAGCAGGCGCTTTTATCCAAAGCCACAGACAGTCATGCGTGCATACATTTTACATATGGGTGGTCCCGGGAATCGAACCCACAATTATGGCTTTACAAGTGCCATGCTTTACCAACTGAGCCACATAAAATACCCAAAACACACACAGACACATTGCTACATGCCCATACAGTGCACTCCCACTCCCACCCACCTGTTTTCCAGCTGTTTGATGTTGTCTGTGAGTAGCCTCTGCTGCTCTCTCAGCTGTTGGTTCCTGTTGAAGAGCTCCTCCATTCGCTTTGTATCACTACTTAGACGACCACACCGAGAACTACTAATCACTACATCTCCCACACATCAACATATCACCCTTTAGTAAATCAAATCAAAGTTTATTGGTCGCATACACGCCTGTGTTTCCAGCGCCAACAGTGCAGTAATACGTAGCAATACACAACAATACACACACGATCCAAAAAGTAAAAAGAGAAAGGAATTAAGAAATATCAGAACGAGCTATGTAAACATTATTAAAGTAACCAGTGTTCCCCTATGTACATACGGCAGCAGTCTCTAAGGTGCAGGGTAGAGTACCGGGTGGTAGCCGGCTAGTAACAGTGACTAAGTTTCAGGGCAGGGTACTGGGCAGAGGCCAGCTAGTGGTGACTGTTTAACAGTCTGACGGCCTGGAGGGTACTGGGCGGAGGCCGACTACTGGTGACTGTTTAACAGTCTGACGGCCTGGAGGGGTACTGGGCAGAGGCCAGCTAGTGGTGACTGTTTAACAGTCTGACGGCCTGGAGGGGTACTGGGCAGAGGCCAGCTAGTGGTGACTGTTTAACAGTCTGACGGCCTGGAGGGGTACTGGGCAGAGGCCAGCTAGTGGTGAGTGTTTAACAGTCTGACGGCCTGGAGGGGTACTGGGCAGAGGCCAGCTAGTGGTGAGTGTTTAACAGTCTGACGGCCTGGAGGGGTACTGGGCAGAGGCCAGCTAGTGGTGAGTGTTTAACAGTCTGACGGCCTGGAGGGGTACTGGGCAGAGGCCGGCTAGTGGTGACTGTTTAACAGTCTGACGGCCTGGAGGGGTACTGGGCAGAGGCCGGCTAGTGGTGACTGTTTAACAGTCTGACGGCCTGGAGGGGTACTGGGCGGAGGCCAGCTAGTGGTGACTGTTTAACAGTCTGACGGCCTGGAGGGGTACTGGGCGGAGGCCAGCTAGTGGTGACTGTTTAACAGTCTGACGGCCTGGATGGGTACTGGGCAGAGGCCAGCTAGTGGTGACTGTTTAACAGTCTGACGGCCTGGAGGGGTACTGGGCAGAGGCCAGCTAGTGGTGACTGTTTAACAGTCTGACGGCCTGGAGGGGTACTGGGCGGAGGCCAGCTAGTGGTGAGTGTTTAACAGTCTGACGGCCTGGAGGGGTACTGGGCGGAGGCCAGCTAGTGGTGACTGTTTAACAGTCTGACGGCCTGGAGGGGTACTGGGCGGAGGCCAGCTAGTGGTGACTGTTTAACAGTCTGACGGCCTGGAGGGGTACTGGGCGGAGGCCAGCTAGTGGTGACTGTTTAACAGTCTGACGGCCTGGAGGGGTACTGGGCGGAGGCCAGCTAGTGGTGACTGTTTAACAGTCTGACGGCCTGGATGGGTACTGGGCAGAGGCCGGCTAGTGGTGACTGTTTAACAGTCTGACGGCCTGGAGGGTACTGGGCAGAGGCCAGCTAGTGGTGACTGTTTAACAGTCTGACGGCCTGGAGATAGAAGCTGTTTATTAGTCTTTCGGTCCCAGCTTTGATGCACCTGTACCCGCCTTCTGGGTGGCAGCGGGGTGAACAGGCTGTGGCTCGGGTGGCTGAGGTCCTTGATGATCTTCGTGGCCTTCCTGTGACCCCCGGGTGCTGTAGGTGTCCTGGAGGGCAGACAGTGTGCACCCAATGGTGCGTTGGGCTGACCGCGTCACCCTCTGGAGAGCCATGCTGTTGTGCCCGACAGGATGCTCTCAATGGTGCATCTGTAGAAGTTCGTGAGGGTCTTAGGGGCCAAGACAGATTTCTTCAGTCTCCTGAGTTATATATATTTTATATTTTACACCCTTTTTCAATCTTGTCTCATCGCTGCAACTCCTCAACAGGCTCAGGAGAGGCGAAGGTCGAGTCTTGCGTCCTCCGAAACATGACCCACTAAACTGCGCTCCATAACACCCGCCCACTTAACCCGTAAGCCAGCTGCACCAATGTGTCGGAGGAAACACTGTTCAACTGACAACATAAGTCAGCCTGCAGGTGCCCGGCCCACCACAAGAAGTCGCTAGATCGCAATGAGCCAAGTAAAGCTCCCCCGGCCAAACCCTCCCCTGACCCTATGTGACTCCCACTGACGGCCGGTTGTGATACAGCCTGGGATCGAACCCGGGTCTGTAGCGTCGCCTCAAGCACTGTTATGCAGTGCCTTAGACCGCTGCGCCACTCGGGAGGCCATGTTGCGCCTTCTTCACCACACTGTCGGTATGTAGGGACCATTTTAGGTCCTCAGTGATGTGCATGCCGAGGAACTTTAAGCTTTTAACCCTCTCCACTGCGGCGATGTGGATGTGGGCGTGTTCCCTCTGCTGTCTCCTGTAGTCCACGATCAGCTCCTTCGTTTTGTTGACTTTGAGGGAGCAGTTATTTTCCTGCCACCACTCCGCCAGGGCTCTCACCTCCTCCCTGTAGTCTGTCTCATCGTTGTTGGTAATGAGGCCTACCACTGTTGTGTCATCAGCAAACTTGATGATTGAGTTAGAGACGTACGTGGCCATGCTGGGAGTGCAGGAGGGGGCTGAGCACGCACCCCTGTGGGGCCCCCGTGTTGAGGATAAATGTGACAGAGGTGTTGTTGTCTACCTTCACCACCTGGTACCACTACATCTTCCACATATCAATATATAACCCTTTAGCAATGTGTTTTGAAATGGACTCAGCATTTACTCACCAGCCCTTTTTATTGGTTAGCTCCTGAAATGTCTCATGCCATTCTACACAGAGAGAGAGAGAGAGAGAGAGAGAGAGAGAGAGAGAGAGAGAGAGAGAGAGAGAGAGAGAGAGAGAGAGAGAGAGAGAGAGAGAGAGAGAGGAGAGAGAGAGAGAGAGAGAGAGAGAGGAGAGAGAGAGAGAGGAGAGAGAGAGAGAGAGAGAGAGAGAGAGAGAGAGAGAGAGTAGATAGATTGATAAATAGATAGATCATGTTAGAATATTCATTCTATAGTGTTGTCTTGTGTGGTACCACACTCATATCTCAGAGTATCAGCAACACTGACACTGTAGGAGGGTTGATTACTCACTATGGACCTCTCGGTCGTGGGTTTCCCTCAGTTTGTGGAGGAGGTCGTTGAAACCCTCCAGAGCCATGGAAACACTGTGCTGTCGCAGTTGACTTTTACACAGGACCCCTCTCTCTCAGCCGTCATCCACTGCAGCAATGTCCTCAACTGGGGAAGAAAACCAACCACAGCAGATTACTGTAGGTTCAGGTTTCCATAAGAGCACGCCAGAGCACAGCAGCCGTTATGGCCTTGCCCTGCACAAATAGGAGGCAAACTTATGCAGAGATATTGGAAATGATACGTTCTTTCACGGTCTGTGTGTATGTGTGTGTGTGTGAGAAAGAGTGAGTGAGTGAGTGAGTGAGTGAGTGAGTGAGTGAGTGAGTGTCACGGTTTCGGCCGAGGCTGCTCCTCCTCCTTGTTCGGGCAGGTTTCGGCGGTCGTCGTCCCCGGAGTACTAGCTGCCACCGATCTATGTTTCATGTTCGTTTGGTTTTGTCTTGATGTTGTACACCTGTGTCTAGTTAGTCCTCATTAGTGTCCTATTTAGTTCTCGTTGTGTGTGTCAGGTGTTGTGTGTGATTGCTCTTCTGTTTGGTGTTCTGAGCTACGTGTTTCCCTCCGTTGTTTTGGATAGGTTTTTCCCACATGTTAGTGCGCCTTTATTTCGCCTCCGGGCTTGTTGGGCTCGTGTACTACGTGTATATTTTCACTAAAGTCTTTTGGACTTAGTTTCTGCATCCTGTGCTTGATTCCTGCACCACACCCACCTTCAGCACCCTTGACAGTGAGTGAGTGAGTGAGTGAGTGAGTGAGTGAGTGAGTGAGTGAGTGAGTGAGTGAGTGAGTGAGTGAATCATTAAGACATGTTGGTAGACTTCCCTCTCCAATGTTCTAGAGGTCTACATATAAATCATAGAATAGGGAACATTCTTGATGAAATCTCCATAATTTGCTGTAAATTGACACCGCAGTCCTGTCATGTGGTATCCTTACAATTAGACCATGAAACATAACATGTATGAGAGGAGCAGTACAGTAGACTATAACATCTATAGAGGAGCAGGACAGTAGACTATAACATCTATAGAGGAGCAGGACAGTAGACTATAACATCTATAGAGGAGCAGTACAGTAGGACAGTAGACTATAACATCTATAGAGGAGCAGTACAGTAGACTATAACATCTATAGAGGAGCAGGACAGTAGACTATAACATCTATAGAGGAGCAGTACAGTAGACTATAACATCTATAGAGGAGCAGGACAGTAGACTATAACATCTATAGAGGAGCAGTACAGTAGACTATAACATCTATAGAGGGGCAGGACAGTAGACTATAACATCTATAGAGGAGCAGGACAGTAGACTATAACATCTATAGAGGGGCAGTACAGTAGACTATAACATCTATAGAGGAGCAGTACAGTAGACTATAACATCTATAGAGGAGCAGTACAGTAGACTATAACATCTATAGAGGAGCAGTACAGTAGACTATAAACATCTATAGAGGAGCAGTACAGTAGACTATAACATCTATAGAGGGGCAGTACAGTAGACTATAACATCTATAGAGGAGCAGTACAGTAGACTATAACATCTATAGAGGAGCAGTACAGTAGACTATAACATCTATAGAGGAGCAGTACAGTAGACTATAACATCTATAGAGGAGCAGTACAGTAGACTATAACATCTATAGAGGAGCAGTACAGTAGACTATAACATCTATAGAGGAGCAGTACAGTAGACTATAACATCTATAGAGGGGCAGTGCAGTAGACTATAACATCTATAGAGGAGCAGCGCAGTAGGTTCTGTGAGGAGCTGTGCAGTTGACTATTCCACGGACATTCAGAGGGCTTGTGTAGCTGTTTTTGAGAAATTGAAGCGGGAACAACTCTGAAGTCACACAATAATAATAACTAAAATATTTATTTTTGACTTAGGCTTTCTTCTTCTCTATTTCTTTCTATGTCTTTTGTCTCTGTTTGAATCCCAGTAAAAGGGGAGATGCGTGAGGGTGTGTCGACACACACTAAGCACTATTAAGCATTTTTGATCAGAGCCGTTCTCAGAGCCAGCATGTTGGGATACGTTGTCTAACTGTCCCAAATGTTGCAGCAAAGCAAGAGAAGACCTGTCTGTCCAACGGTCTGTATTTCCCTGCTGACAGAGTGTTGCCTAACAAGCTCTCAGTTCAAACTTTAACATACACACGTATTACATACATTGCATATTGTATATATCACACATTGGGCTTTTTACAAAAATTGATCTAGGTAAAGGTCCATTTTCAGTTATCAATAATTTACCCATTTTTCAGAGTTCACAGATCAATAGGCCTGAATTACTCGTATCCAAATCAATGTACCTGTGCTGTATCTATCCCACAGGTCTAAATGTATGTACACCTCTAGAGCAGAAATGTGTACTAATTAGCTGTGTAGCTGTGGACTGCAGAATTATGTTTGAAAACAAAGTAGGAGTTGCAGAGCTCAAGACAGTTAGAGGAGGCTGTCGTGTGAAAGGAGACAGGGAGGAGTTATCTGTGAGACACATTTAAAACTACAGCCTTCTGCACACCGTGTGAATGAAGCCTGATCCATCAAAGATTTGGAACGCATTGGCCAAAATGAGACAATGACAGACACATAGTCAACGACAGCAGGTGACAAGGCTACATAAATATATATATAGATTCAGTTATATGGTTCCTGCCATTAAAAGGGAAATCCAGGAATCGAAAAACAGTTGGGGATGGGGAAGATAACTATTCTTATATTCAGGGGCGCAACTTTGGTTTTAGAAGTGCGGGGGGAATAATTATTATTATTACATGTCCCCCCGTCCCCCGTCCCCCCGTCCCCAGTGAAAGTTGCACCCCTGCTTATATTCATCGACAGAGCTATTGATGCAAGGACCTCCATGAGATCAAAATGATAGTTAACCCAGTTTTAAATAGTCAAAAATGGATGTACAAATCCCAGATTGCCCCTTTAATCCTGCAATCCTGTACAACATGGTGTTGGGAAATAGACATAGACCCAACAGTAGGTTATTGTCACAACATGTTAATATCGGTGCTCTGTGGAAAGTGCACAGAGTACAGTACCTAACTGTTCCCTTCATGTTCTGTCACCTACTCTGCCCCAACGAACACAAAGATCATTAGCTCACCGTTAATCCATCAATCAAGCTGTTAATCCACAAACCATTTTCCCATCATCTGACAAATTCAATGTGAACGATGCACACTTCACTACACTATTTTGTTATTCAAAAAACATGTTGTGTTTTAGAAAGGAGTGTGACCTCTGCGTGTATGGTTCAATCAATGCAAGATGCAATTAGGAAGAAGATAACATTAACCATAAATATATAGAAGTGGCAGTTTGTCCTGTAAATAATGCAATGTAATATCGTCCTGTCCTTCATCATACAGATAAATCCTAATTTCCATCCATTCTCTATTTATTCTCGTTTCTCCATTTCTAATGAGGAATGAATGAGAAGAACACATAAGGAAACAGTCCTTTCCCATATGCTAATGAATAGGCTCTCCTGCCCAGCTTGCCTACTGCCACCGGCCCACCCACCCACCAACCCATCCCAACCTCACAGGCCCCAGCTCCCCACCACACACTGTCAGCAGGCACACTCACCTCTTCCCAGGTCCCACCAGGGACCCGTCACTCCGTCTGTCTGTCTGTCTGTCTGTCTGTCTGTCTGTCTGTCTATCCTTCTGTCTGTCAATAACTCGCAGTCTGTCCCTTCTGCTCCGATCAGAATGAGAATCCTTCTCCTCCTTAGCCCTGTAGAGCTGGTTGTTCAGTGCCAGAGACAGAGATGGATAGAGCAATAGAGAGAGAGAGAGAGAGAGAGAGAGCGAGAGAGAGAGAGAGCGAGAGAGAGAGAGCGAGAGAGAGAGAGAGAGAGAGCCTGAACCCCCCCCACCTCCCACCCCTCCCCCATCTCCACCTCAGGGAAACAGGTCGGAGCAGTCCTAGAGAACACAAACACGGATGCCCAGGCCAGTTCTCCCTGGATATTCCGGTTCTGCAGAAATCCTGCAAAAACCGGACCAACCAGATTTATTAAAACCAGAGAGCAGAGAGAGGCAATAGGGAAACTCAAACACACAGTGCCATGCAATAAACTTTTCACTCTTACATTTCAGACGTAAAAGAGGCAGAGATAAAAAAATATGTACAATAAAAAAACTCAAAATGACATCAGGGTCTATAAACATGGAGTTATGATTGAGTGACTATAGAATACAACTAAATAAATAATGATTTGTATTACTTTTTCTACTTGAGATGTAACCGTATCAAGTAATCTTATAATTTGAGAGGATTAGCAGACTTGCTCTGAAGGTGGAAAAGGTATTTTGAGGTTTTAGATACGTGCATGCTGATTGGGCATTTCTCCAAATGTTTCGTTATCATACCAGTTATTACTCCTATAGTTACAAATGGGGTGGACTGCGGACACAATTATCCAGTTTCCCCTCCTAGCTCTACTTGAGATGTACTATGAATCAGAATTGTGTGATAAAACATCGGCAGACACAATTGCAGTGATCGCTATTAGGATATACATTTCTGATGGGAAATAACACGTCACTTTGCTCGCTGTGAAAGCAATATCATGAGAAATTCTGTGATATTGTGTCAAGTCAACTGACTTGACTGTGGCTGGGGTCATGAGGTTTAAACATGGGGGTTGGGTTGTGACATGAGGTTGGACCATAGGACAACAGCAGCTATGTGTATTTTATGAAATGGGAATATGATAGCGGACACAATCACACCCCTTTCACTTAGCCCAACAATGCTGCTGGGCCACAAAACCATAGAGAGTTTCCCTGATTACTGAACTTCCTGAACGCTGGACAGAACGGGTTGAACAACAAAACCTTTCAATCTGTCCGGCCCTCCGTTTGTCAGTCTGTCTCCACCCTGATGGATACTGCAGACACACATGAACTCTATGAGAGACTGAGAGGAATGATTAAAACCCTGGTTGAAAACTGGTTGAATTAATGTCGTTTCCACGTCATTTCAACACCAACAAA